TGCCCCCATAATAAGGCGAAGAAGCCTATACAAACCTACTTTCCACCAACCTAAGTGAGGCAGAGAACCTAAGTCCTTTTGCTTCCTCCATAAACAGGCAGAGAACCCAACTCTTTTTGCTTCCTCCAAAAGCAGGCATAGAACCCAACTCCTTTTGCATCCTCTAGAAGCAGGTAGAGAACCCAACTCCTTTTGTTTCCTCCTGAAGCAGGCAGAGAACCTTGATCAGATGCTGAAGTTTACCTCTCTAGAACCCCCAAAGAACTAAGGATGACGATTAGAGAAGACGACGACGGATCCTTACTTGGAGCAACCTTTATGAACTCCCCACAAACTCCCCCTCATAAGATCCTCTCTTTCTTTCCTTTGCTCTCCCTTTCCTCTTGGCTCTCTCAGGTTAGAACAGCATCAAAATATTAGCTCTTGGGTAGAACAAGAGCTCTTAAATAGAAGAGTTTCAGAATAGCTCTTATTTTATACAAACTGACTTTATCGTCCAGGATGATATGGATATCATCCTAGCCGATCAGCATAAATTAGGATGAATACTCTTTGATTTTTGGTCAACAATGAATAGATATATTATACATATAGTAAACAATCCCCACTAAGTCTACAAGGGACCAAATTAGGCTTCTAGCTTCTGCAAGCAATACTCCCTGGCTCCTTATGGGAGACTTTAATTGTTGTCATTTTTCATATGATAAGGTGGGAGGTGTTCCGCTAAAGAAATGTAACTTATGGGAGCTAAAATCATTAATTTTTTATATTGGATTGAAAGACTTGCACTCGATGGGAAGCCACTTCACTTGGTACAACGAACGTTTGGACAATCCCATTCACATAAAACTAGATAGAGCCCTAGTAAATGATGAGTGGGAAAAAGTTTTTCCTAATGTTTTTTGTACATTTTAAGCCCCCTCTTACTCTGACCATTGCCCCGTCATCCTCCATTCTAGTAACTCTTACTCCATTAAGCATAGATTTTTATTTAAAATTTTTTGGCCTAAAATAGATATGCATTGGGAGGCAGTTCTCGAGGTCTTCTCCACTCCAACAAATGGCTACCCAATTCATGATTTTTACAACAAGTTGAAGCTTCTTAAAAGTGATATTATGCAGAAAGACTGGGAAAACTCCAACATATTGAATTCCCATCTCTCTGGCCTCCATAACATGCAATCTGGATGTCTTGGAAGAATTAATGAAGAGCCTCCTAATGCTGATCTAAATGCCACACTTAAAGGTATCAATTCCAAAATTGCAAAATATAATAACTTATTAGCTTTTTCGATTATCCAGAGAGCTAAATCCTCATGGCTCTCTCAAGGGGAGGATGACTTAAAATTCTTATATATTCAAATTCGGAGCCTTTAATGCAGCAACAAAGTTGTAATGAATATGTGGTTTCTTAAGTTCTCTCTTTGAGGCATGAGGTAGTTAGCTCTATCATTGAGCACTTTAAATATCTTTACAACTCTAAACACTCCTATCATGATATGAATGTTTTCCCTCCTGGGACTTGCCTTACTACTATTTTGTCTCAAGTCCTTTTTGAGCATGTCTCGGACGATGAAATAAGATATACAATGTTCTTTGGAGCCTCTTCTGCCTCCCCTGGTCCAGATGGATATAATTTTCACTTTATAAAATGGGATGGCACATCATTGGTCCATCTTTTGTGCAAGGCTGTAAGATCCTTCTTTCATACAGGATATCTCCCTAAAGGGGTTAAAGCCACTACTCTTACCCTTATTCCCAAAACCAAGAGTGTTAATTCCTTATCAGACTTCAGGCCAATATCTTTATGTAATGTTCTTTACAAAATCATTGCAAAAATTCTTGCAAATACACTCAAGCCTATCATGCCTTTGATTATAAGGGACAACCAAGCCGGCTTTGTTAAATCTAGAGTATCAACTCAAAATATCATTCTCGCTAATGAGATCCTTTCATTAGCTCGTAGTAGAGGAGGCTACAATTACTTCTGTGCTAAGTTGGACACCTGCAAAGCTTTCGACACGGTGTCTAGAGAATTTTTACTTGCTAGGATGACTCAAAAGGGTTTCCAAAGCAAATTCATCCAATGGAGTAAAGATTGCATTTAGAATGTCAACTTTTATATTGTCTTAAATGGTGCTCTTGAAGATTTTTTCTCTTCCTCTACTCGCTTGAGGCAAGGATGCCCCCTAAGTCCCTATTTATTTTGCATTGTTATGAATGCTTTTTCCACTTTACTTGATGGAGGTTTTGTTGGTATTAATATTGATGTGTTCAAATTATCTCATCTCTTATTTGCGAATGATTTATTGGTCTTTGGTAATTCTAAGGTGGTTAATTGTAAGAACTTGGCACATATTCTCAAAACTTTTACTTATGCTTCTGGGCTTCACATAAACTATGAGAAAAGCTATGTTATGACTCCAAATAGGCTCCAAAATCAGCAATTTATTTGCCAAGCCCTCTCTATTTCTAACATTAGCTCTCATATTACTTATTTGGGCATTCCGCTATCCTTCAAAAAGCTTAAGGTGGCATATTTTTTGCCACTTATGAAAAGTATCGCTAAGAAAATGTCTAGGTAGAAGGCTAACCTTCTTTCATTTGCTGGTAGACTATAATTTTTGAAATTTACTATCTTGAATTCTATTGCATATTGGATAAGGGATTCAATTCTACCTAAAGCTGTTACTAAGTTCATTAGAAAAGCATCCTCTAGATTTCTCTTTTTTGGTGAAACTATTGCTGCAAGGAAGATGTATGTTGTATCCTGGGACAAGGCCTACAAACCAAAAAATTCTGGAGGGTTGGGAGTGCCTTCTCTGTTAGCTCTCTAATTTATTTTTAATTCTTCTGTCATAAGTAGGATGTATAATTATGCAACCCCTATTTCATCTTGGCTTATTCAAAGATACTCTTCACCTTGGCAACCTCCTCCCCATTATGCTTCTAATTTCTAAAAAAATATTGGTAACATTGCTTCTCTGGTGAGGAATGCTTTTAAATTCAGGATTACTCCCTCATCCTCCATTTCTCTTCATTCGGCTAATTGGTGTGATGGACATACTCTTAATGAAATTCCTGAGGGACATGTTTTCTTGCAAACGTTTGATCAGAATGTTCTTGTCAAGGATCTAATTACAAGGAACTCCTGGAACTTACCTAACAACTAGCCCCTTCTTGTTATATCAGCCATTAGAACTATTCCCATTCATTACAATTTTGCTCTCTCCTTAGCTTGGGGAAGCTCGGATGAAGGTTTGTTTGGGCAATACATCAAGGAGTTCTATAAAGATCTCCCTCTTAATTCGAGGCAGAACATGATTTGGCACAAAAGAAATGTGTTGAGATATTCCATTTTTGCTTGGCTTGCTGTGATATACGGTTTAAAAACTACTAATGTTCTTCTCAGAAGAAACATAAAAGAATATCCTATATGCCAGCTATGCCATAATGCTAATGAAAGCAGCTCTCATATTTTCTTTGAATGCAACTTCTCCTTCTCTGTTATTACTCAATTGATGCTAGAAACTCTATCTTTGTTGCTAAGACCTACAGTTTTATATTTGATGGAATGGATAAATGCTCTTGAGTGAGGCTGATGTCAAAAATCTATATTTTCTAATCTCCTGCTGCTCCATCTATTTTATATGGAAAGAAATGAATGAAAGAAAATTTGGGGATAATATGAGCTGCAACACCACTATCTCTTTAAAGATCAAAAAAGTTGTATTCTCCAAGATTTGCAAGTGAAAAATTCTGAAAAAATTATGGTTATCCTGTAATGGATTGGTCAGAGCTGGGGCTATTTTTCTTCTTTCTGTCCTGTGGATGAAGAGGTTTTGCAGTCTTTTTGGTAGCTGGGTTGATTCGTATCTGCCAGCGATGATTATGTTCCCATATATATTCTGAATTTTTCCCTTGGATGGTCTTCGAGCAACCAGGGATATTTGCGTGCGTTCGTAAGTTGATTTTGTCCCCCAACTGAGTCCTGGTTGTGTGCTAGCATGTTTTTCTGTCTGTTTCATCTTTCTCAAGTTTTTGTTTGACCCAAGTATAGTTTTTGTTTGACCCATGTATAGTTTTTGTTCATTGTTTTTGGTTTTTGAGCTCTTTTGAGCTGCTCCTATTTTTTTCTTAGGAGCCTTGTTCTTCTTGTACCATTTTCTTCTTATATACGGGCAATGCCCAAATTTTCTCCAAAAAAAACTTGAATAGAAGATCAATAGAGGACAAAGAGTATTACAATTAAGCTTTACAATAAACTGATAAACTGAGCAATAAGATAACTGAAGATGTGGATGCTTGAAGGAGAGAGCCGAGCTGCTTTCTTCTAATGTTTGCAAGATTACCGTAGTCAGAGACTCACTTATATATATATATATATTAGGAGACATAAATCTATATTTCCCCTGCATAATATAAATTTTGGGCCTTAGCCTGCATTCTGTTACGTGATAATTTATTAAGAAAAAACATACAGCTTTTTAACATAATAACATTAATGCATTTTTAACATTATTATATTAGATCTAATGCTGACTTGCACCATTTCACACAAGACACGTATAAACAATTAATTACACACAATTTGTTAGAATATTCTATGGTTAAGAGAATCGAAGTACTGTAATATTTATGGTTAAGAGAACAAATTACACAAAGAGCTATCTATTTGGACCCGCAGACAAAAAGGAATACATCATTAAATAGCCTTAAATGTCGGTAATAAATAATAATCAAAACTATCTGAAGCAATGGCGTAACTCAGAAATGGTAGCGAGTAAAATCACAAGAAAAAACAGTTCAAGAGTTTGCCAAACGACCAAGACTAATGGCTGCTGCAAGAAAAATAATTCCCGTGCAGAAGAAATCCAAATAAAAAACAATTCCATTCACATTAATCTAAGGGCTCATTTTGTTAATTCATGTTAGGAATTTTATTATTATTATTATTTGAAAATGACAAATTTTGATAGATTCGGTCATTTGGTCAGATGTTGATAGAACACAACATTTATTTTAACTCCATAAGCTCCGGAAAAATCCCTCAAATATCATATTTTCTTTTAAAAACCAAAATAAGAGAGCAAAAATTATAATTTTCTAAAATATATTATCTCAAGACAATTAGATAGCCCTAAAAATAATAAACAAAAACTGTTCGAAGGATTCATGGAAAAGGTAATCGAGTAATGACGGCCGAATTAACGCCATTGAACGGAAATAATCTAAGAATTTGCTGCCGGTGATCCAGATCTGATATTTGTTGTTTAGGTTATCGGAAGCAAGTCAAATCACTGAAGATTTGTCAACCACTTCCAAATCTTGGAAGCTGCACAGCGATAAGCAAGAAAAAGAAACAGTCAGCTACTTTAACAACATTAGCTAGAAGAGCATAAAATAACAACCAGACCATCTGCACATTTTTACAGAAAGAACCCCACCAAGAATTTTCCTGTTTAAATAAAATAGCATAACAGACAAATGCTATCTTCCGGCTAAAATCTTTGTTTGGATTGGAGGAAAGTAATGGAAATGAAATGTAATTACAATAATTTATCGGTTCATTATGAAGTTATAGGAGTGATTAAAAAAAATAAAAATAAAAAATAAAAAAATATAAGTGATTTGAGCATTTCAACTTCTTTTTTCTTTTTTCTTTTTTCTTTTTTCCTAATTTCCTTTCACTCAAAAAATCTAGCATCCAAACACAGTCTATATGTTTAAGAGTTGATTCAGGTTAAAAAAAAATTTGATGTCATATGATTGATGCTCATATTCTGCCAGCTGAAAAATAAACTATGCAACTTCTAAAATTTCCCGAATAATATATGCTAAATACTTAATATGATGTCATAAGTTAACTATTCATTTTTAAGAAATTAATTGAAAGTACATCTAAACAAGTTCGCTGGACAGACCATAAATTTAGATAAAGTAAAACTAAGTTGCAATATAAAACTAAAATCAGACAGCCATTATGATCGTACACAACAAACGGAATGCAGTGCAGAACTGAAGCTAAAATGAGATTTACCTTCTTAGAAATTGCTTTAGATAAATTTGACAAGCTCTGAGATGATGTTGAGGCATTGTCCGAAGCACGTGTACCAACTGTCTTTCGTGCTTTACTGTCAAGGGCTTTCAATAACTCGAATGAACATAACAATGATTCATCAATATTTAAGAAAGCACCCGCATTGTCAAACTCCCCACAATAGTTGGGAGCTGAAAATATGGTAACCAACCTCCTTTGCCCAAAAAACTCGTACCCGTCCTCAACAACCTATAATTAAAAAATGTAAGAAAAAAAATCAGAAGACCCGAAAATAGATGTCAATTATTAAATAAAAAGTTTACTGACCTGATGACCCCTACATATGAGTTCAAGGTTATTTTTATCAAGAAACTCTACAAGCTTATCAACACCAAAAGTACATGCAACACCTCTATCACTCAGCCCCCATCCCTGAATCTTGGGGTCTGGATCTGACCAAAGTAGATCGCAAAGAAGGCCGCTATCAGGAATTTCAGTGGGCCTTTCGATTTCTTCAATCCTACTCAAACTATCAAGCTCTGGTGAAAGTCCGCCATGCATGCAAAAGATCTTCTCATCAACGACAGCAGCAACAGGCAAACAGTTGAAGCAATCTGAGAATGTTTTCCACAAGCGAACATTGAATCTTCTTTTACATTCATCATAAAAACCATATACTCTGTTGACTTTAGCATCTTCATGATTTCCTCTCAAGAGAAAGAATTTGTCAGGGTACTTTATCTTGTACGCTAAAAGTAAGCAAATTGTCTCTAAGCTTTGTTTTCCTCGATCTACATAGTCACCAAGAAATAGATATGATGAAGTAGGAGGGAATCCACCGCGTTCAAATAACCTTATAAGGTCTACATACTGTCCATGTATATCGCCTGCAATTAAAGAAGTATGAGAAATGGCGAGTAATGTTTAACATCTAAATCAAATTTTCTTCCAATAGAACTGCCAAATTGTCTACTACATTTGCGTTGTGAATATTCAATTTAAATTTCTAACAAAGTATAGGAGCAAAATTAAGTAAACACTTGAATCCAATTAAATTAAAATAAAGAATAACATATTTAAAAAAACAAACTAATTATTTGCCGAATGCATGCAAAATATAAATAGAAGCAAAGGAGTTTCTAATTACAAGAAAGTAAACTGAGTAAAGAAAAAATTTACTATGCACGAACTCAAGTATGTTTATTTATTATTGGAGTAACAACACAATATAGTCACCAGACTATTAGTAAATATTCAATTTCGTCTCGAACTTTTATAATGAAACAATATAGTACCCTAACTATGTTGACCTGTGTACTACAGGTAAACCAAAAAAATTCATTCGTACCTGAAAGTTGCACGTCGCACGTTTCAGGAAGTCGAACGCACGTCGTTCGCACATCTTCGACATTCCTACCACGTTCGTCGTCCTGCCTCGCTCGTCGTTAAATAGCAGAGAAATGAACGCTCTCAGGGCTCTTTCTCCTCTCGCACACAAATCTCTCGTCGCTACTCTGGATCTCAACAAGCCCTGCATCTGCCTCCCATACGATGTCGACACCCACGACTTGCCCCGATCCCCATCTAGTCGGCCTTCCAAACATTCACCATTTGTAGCCGCCGAAGCTAGTCCCCACGATTTCTCCGATCCAGAGAGAGAGAGAGAGAGAGAGAGAGAGAGAGGGAGAGGGAGATAAACGACCGACCCTACCTCCTTCAACTGTGTTCCCTTGCCGTCGGATCAGACGTTACAGCATTTTGATCGGATATAGGGAGGGGAGTCCGCTGCCTGTGAAGGAAACTTTCTCCCTTTTGCTTGCTTCTTCAGCCCCTTCGCAATTATTTGGCTTTAGTCGCTCGACGACGTTCCCTTCCGTCGGATTGGAGGCAAAAGCGAGAGCTCGCCCGCTTTGGAAGGAACATTCTCCCTACCGTAACTTATAATTAATAATAATTAATTTAGTTTAATTTAATTATAATTAATTATTGTTGATGATAATTAATTATAATTAATTAATTTTGACTTTTTTTAATTATGATTAATTAATATTAATTAAAAATAATTAAATAATAATAATAATAAATACCTCTCTTACCTCATCGTATGTGCCGAGCCGGCAAACCACTTATGCACGCTTTTTCTAGCGTGGTGGGAAGGAAACCTGGTGCGACATCTACGACGAGGTAGGCGAGCAACCCTTGACCCAAAATCCTATCCTTGACGTTCGTGTCGAGCCAGCAAACCACCCATGCACGTTTTTCTCTAGCGTGGTGGGAGGGAACCCGATGCAACACCTATAACGAGGCAGGTAGGCCTAGTGCACGCTTTTCTTAGCGTGACCGGGACAACTTTAAGTACCCATACGCGGCTCTATACCAGCAGGGAAACAACTGCTTCTCTATTGTAACAAGTACCGAAGAACCATGCACGCCTTTCTCTGATATGCTGGGGTTAAAGATTTTATAGCTGCGGTGTCCTCGTTTGAGGACACCTATCGTGCATGCTTTTTTCTAGCGTGGCGGGAGGCCTAGTTTTTCGTTGTTTTTCCCTAAACAGGGGAGAAGCCGAGAGGCTGCCTAAATTTCGGGTAAACATACGACTGCACTCGGACCTGATTTGAACTCAAATGAGCAGTGGACTTGAGAACTTGTATTTGAACACAACTCAAATGATTAATCAAGCACTTGAACTAGAATTATACATCAAGTGAACTCAAACTTGAACTCAATTTGAACATAAAATGAATTAAACAATACCACTTGAACTTGTACTCTGGACTTGAGTTGAACACTAATGACTTAAACAATTTGAACTCAAGCGAGCACTTGAGTTGAACTATAGAGGACATAGAACTGAGCTTGCACATTGAGCTTATGAACTTGATTTGAACTGGACTTGGAAGGACTCAGACTTGAGTCTGATTTGAACATCATTGCACCCTCACATTCGATACTAATCAAACTACAACACCTTTTACGGATGTATTCACTGAACCACACTACAAGACCTCAATGCATACAAATAAATAATGTAGTGGACTTTTACAACAGTCTCTACGAGATCAGGTGCATCGTACTTGCAAGAACAACAAGTGGTTGCAAAATGCACGGGTGTCTCCTATATGCACCTCCAACACTAGCAACAATGCCTGTAGATTGAGATGGCAATACTTGTATTTGATAGCGGAAGACCCGTCCCTACAAATAAGTACAATCATCAAATCACCTGAGATTGGTGAAAGATGAATATGATGCAAGAACAATGGTTCTCCTATGAATATTACCAAGATATCATAGTGGATGCAACGAGTTCCCGTAAATACACACGAGCAGCTTGTTGATAACAACAATGGGTAATCGTATGCCCTAACCCTAATGCAAACTCTTAATTAAAGCAAAAATAAAATATAATTGAAAGGACTAAACAACTCCCCTCTCTCTTCCCTAGGATGTGGACCCCACCCCCAAGGGGTCGGTCAAGTGAGCCTGCGGGTCAACAGACTTGCACCTGCTATAGGTGTAGAGCCGGACCAAGGGTTGGGTCGGCTGGACCGATCCCTACTGCATCGGACTAGGCATATCATATTCTTACCAAACTGAAAAATAAGAGGTTGTCAAGCTATTGGACGTCGATTTCATCAGAGAAGTACCCAGACTGAATCTCCAATGTTGTCATTCTCCAAGAGGCAAATAAAATGGGGAGAATGTGCATCGATTTCACAAGCTTGAACTAAACATGCCCCAATAACATATAACCTCTCCCTAGAATTGACTCATCAATGAAATCTATAGTCCAGTTCCACGTAATGAATTTCGTTGATGCCTCTATTCAACTTTGTTCACCATTCACAAGCTAATGAGTAAGTCCATGTAAAGAACAAGCAAACACTGAGTATCTTATAAAAGAATGTAAGAGGAGAGGGCAAGTGGGTGAAAGCACTACGCTCAATTCTATAGGCAATGAGATTCAAAAGTAATAATAAAAAAATTTATTTTATGTACAATTCTTATCAATCCTTCTATAGCTGAGTTTGTCATCAAAGTGGGTGATTTAACATTGAAAGGAAAAATCAAATCTAAGATATAGAGAACTCGTCCCCACAAAGATGAACACTTGGAGACTCACCCTACTTCCCCCAGCGTGAGCAATGCAAATGCCCATTTAGAGGCCCATATATAAAAAAAATTGAAGCACATTCAGGAACTAGCATAAAGAATGCGAGTAGTTAATAACCAAGCACAGGTAACGCCAACATTCAAACTCCATTTATTAAGTCTAAAGTTGGCCAACTTTGTGCTCCCAATAAGTGGAGAGACCAAAAATAAATACTACCAAGAACAACTCCTCCTGTGTAATATAAGAGGTTGATCAATTGGATTAAATGCGAATATAGGCTCTACCCAGACTTAAAATCACCTCCCTATTCTAACATAGTCAACTTTGCAAGCTATGAACATGATCATTCCTTCATGCTAACATATTCACAAGAAAATATCAAGAAAATATCTTTCTGTCACTATTATATAACACACTAACTCGCCTTCACTTCTTAACTCTTGGGAAAAATTGTTAGGAACTCCGACCAAATACAACTAAAAAAAATCCCTACTTACATATGCCAAGAAAAATCCCTACTAAATGATAAATGCTTATAATATAACTAATCATAGGGTCTTGCTCTTAAGGAGAACATGTACCCCATAATAAAATAAACCCTGTATTGTCTAATATATTGAGTAGCAAAAAATCTGTGATAAAATATAGAAAATGCAAATTTTCTATGAAGCTCATAATGAAATAAAATTTTTATCATTCAGATAAATTTATTAATTTCTATGTCGTGCTTAATCATAAAATATTCCCATCCATTGAGGACGAAAAAATTCCACCAATAGGTCTATTTACTGTAGTTGTTGAATCCAAATTTATCCGGTGGATGATACCTGACTTTACTAGAAGATTTATCTAGTGGGCTAAGAACCATTTAGTGAGGATAGCAGGTAGAGAGAGCAGAGAGGAGAGTAAGCTAGCATAATCTCCACTATCTTAATTTAGAAAATATAGAGAAATAGTCAAACAACTAAGATCTCAATATGAAAAGTCCAAAAGGTCCAAACTATTCCAAATTACCACTTATTTATAAAGTTTTACAGACTATAAAAAATATTATACAGAGAAAAATAAAAATACAGACTACACAAAACACTCATACAACACTACATGCTAATATAGAATATCTCATAATTGGTTGTAGGAGGGTGAAGTCAATAATCAGGTGACGTGTTAATCGTCAAGAGAGCTCAGAATGGGCAAGTAGCTATAAGGCAAGTATTTGAGCAAATCTCTAGAGAAATTGGACCCGTAGCTGACGAGATATTTGATTTGACCAGCAAATGGCATTGGGAGCTCGAAGTCACCTTCTTGTGAAAGACGAGCGGAGGTGTTTGAGAGAATGAAGAGTCCCTGAGACAGGTAGTGGTAATAAATGGAGTGTGGACCCCTAAGACATACGCTTTTTTGTTGACATGTTCAGGTGCAACACATGGTTTAACCCATTCCGACCCAAATTGAAAAAGGTAACTGCTTGAACTTTTATCTTTTGAACTATACTGCAAGTTTTTAGACGTGATATGTGTGTGAAAATAGTTTGCATAAGTATTGGAGTGAGTTTCTGAGGTTTGAACACATTTTGGAATAATTCAAAATTTTTTGGGTGTTTTGGCTCCTCGATGTTGTTGTTAGTTGGTGCCTAGGTGCTCAAAGGTGGTGCCCCTATGCTATAGTCTCGAGTTTTTGGTATTTGAACTTGCGCCATAGCGTTGGATGGTGACGCCGCAGTGCAAGGCCAGTGTCTGCACTTAAATATATTTTAAATTCCATTGTTCC